TGGGGCAATTCTGCTTTGTTCTATAGGGTCGTTATAAGTCAGAACTGACATGATGGTGGTGAGTTGGTCTATATAGATTCCTATATGTATACAAACACACACACAAATAGCATGGCCTGGAGAATCTGGATGACCACTGTATGAAACAGTGCTGCCCTGTGACTTGGAGCTCATGGTTTCCTGAGCACATGGGCCACGGTGTGATTTTCCAGGCACTATTCTGGGAGCCAAGGGCATTGAGGTGGGCAGCAAATGCTAACAATCACTTCCTCCAAAGAAAGGCCTCGTGATAATGCCATCTGACAGATATTATCAGCCAAAGTTTTGCAACAGTTTATATAGAGATTAGTGGGAGCATAAATGTCACAAGGTACCCAGCAATAAAAGGACAATAACTCCTGAACACATGATAAATGGGAAAAAATACTGAAGTTGTCAAGGATTTCCTTTTACTTGAATCACAACCAACGCTCATGGAAGCAGCAGTCAAGAATTCAAATGATGGAAAAACACTTGTAACGGTCAACAGACAGATGTGGAACTATTTATAGACTTTTCTTTTTTTGCTGTTGGTTTGTTGTTGTTATTTTCTTTTATTATGTTTTGATTTGTCTTGTTTTTGTTTATTATTGTCTCTGCATGTCTATCTAGATAAGATAGGCAGAGCAAACAATCCAGAAGAGAAAATAACAGACTGAAAGTTCTGGGGAGACATGGGAGAGGGGTAGGTGGGGGGAAGCAAGGAGGGGATGCCAACAAACCCAGGGACATGGGAATAACAAGTGATCTAAAATCGATGGCAATGAGGGTGTAGGATGCCTAGTAGGGCTTGATCAAGGGCAACGTAGCCAAGAGGAATTACCGAAACCTGAATGAAGGCCGAACATGATGGTGGGACAAGAGGAAAGTACAGGAAAATAGAGGAAAGAACAAGGAGACAAAGAACATTTATAGAGGCCTAAATATAGGCATGCATATGTTAAATGTGTTTATATAAAAAACAAAACAAAAAGTACATTTATATATAATGAAAGGGAAATAGATCTATGTACATATATTTATTTGTTAAGTATTAAGGCAGCAGACAGACATTGGGCCTCTACTCAAGTCCTCCCTCAACGCAAGAACATTTTGTTCTAATAACCCAGTATTCTGTGATGCTCACCTTTCCTCACATGAATGCTGAAGACAAAGCGGGTACATAAGCAAATGTGGTGAAGAAAGCTAATGGTGCCTGGCTATTGAGCATCTGGGGTCTTAAAGGCTTGAAGATAAATAAGTAGCCATCTAGCTGGGAAGCAACAAAGCCCACATGGAAGAAGCACATCAGCCTGTGTGATCACGAGGTGTCGACAGGATCAGGTATCAGGCATCAAAGATCCAAAACAAAAAATCATATTTATGTGAATGGGGAGGACAGCGGAGTGGACCCAAAGCCCATCTGTAGACAACTGGACATTCCCTTGCAAAAGGGTCACAAGGAGGAGACGAGCCAGTCAGGGTGCAGTATAACACCAAGGAAACATACAACTTTCCTCTAGTTCTTTAATGCTTCCTCTCCCCCCACCCCCACACTATTATGACCCCAATTATCCCTTACAAATCTGGCTAGACCAGAGCATGTACAGATAATAGCTGGTACAGATAATAGCTCGAAGCACATGGAATCTAGGACAGATACACCCCTCAGGACCAATAATGAGAGTATCAATACAAGGAGGGTAAGGGTAAGGTGGGGGGAGAAAAGGGGAACCAATCACAATAATCAACATATAACACTGCCCCCACCCCAGGGGGGATGGACAACAGAAAAGTGAAGGGAGACAGTGGTCCATGTAACACATGAAAAAAAAATTAATAAATTATCAAGGGATCAAATAAATAAATAATTTTTAAAACATTATCAAGGGATCATGAGGGAGGGGCTAAAAAATGAGCTGATACCAAGGGCTCAAGTAGAAAGAAAATGTTTTGGAAAAGATGGCAACATATATACAAATGTGGTTGACACAATGGGTGTATGTATGGATTGTGATACAGCTGTAAGAGCCCTCAATAAAATGTTTTGTTTTTTTTAAAAAAGCATTCAAACGAAATACTTCACTGGGCAAATCTGCTGCAAAAGAGCTCTCTGCAGTGTGGAAGGGCAAAGCTATTCCTGTGAGGACTAAGGGGTTCCCGACTAACCCGCCTCATGGCGCTGGACGGTGAGTAAGAAGGCGGAGACGAGCCGGTGCCCCTGAATGAAGGTGCTGGTGAAGAACACTGACAGTGAGCTGCCAGAGGGACAAACCTATCTGTCCCGGAGGAGATACCACCTGAATAAGCCTTAGAAGTGAGGATGCTAAGACGAAGTCTCATGCACTCTGGACATGTTACTGGGAGAAACCAGTCCTTAGACAGAGACACCATATTTAGTCAAGTAGAAAATAAAGGAAGAAGGAGGGCCTTCAGTGAGATGGGTTAAAACAGTGGCTCAAGCCTCACAGCTACGAGGTGATGCAGGGCAGGCCGGGCTTCCCTCTGCCGCAAGGGGCTGCTGGGAGTCGGAAGTGACCCAACAGCACCAGTAACCGAACACTCACCGCCGCGTCCACATGAACTCGTCTGACCTCCCCAGAAGGAGCCCTGGTGGTACAGGGGTTAAAAGTGCTTGGCTGTTCATGGAAAGGCGGCGGCTCAAGTTTCCTTTGAGGGAGTAATTCTTATCTCCATTTTCCAGCTAGAGCAAGGACATCGTGGTCAGAGAAGTTGAGTCATTTGCCCAGGGTCACACAACTGGTGAATGGAGGTCTCAGGCAGTGTGATCTGAGTCCAGATTCCTAACCACTACCCCGTACCTGCGAGGATAATATTGCACACCTGTGGAGTTTCAGTACTTTTACCCAAAAAAGGTGGTCTGTGCTCTTGGTTTCTGGGAGATAACCTCTAAAATTTTGATTGCCCCAGTAACCAAATGTCTTTGCTGAGGGCTCCAGTCCTCACCTAATGTAACAGGTGATCCTTGTGAGTTGACTCTTGGATGGAGGCTGGCCAGAAAGACAACCCTGTGATAGAAACCTCGAGATCATCTCCTGATATCAAGCAACCTTAGAGGAGGGACTAGAGTTTGGATTACATACTGAGACCCCCAGAAAAGCTCTGGATACGGAAGCTTCATGGGTTCCCTGACTGGCGAGAGACACAATGCAGTGGGAGAACAGCATGTCCCTTTTTGGGACACAGAAGCTGTGCACTGGGAGCCCTCCCAAATCTAAGTTCATGCGTTTCTTCATTTGTATCTTTTTCCTACAATAAAGCTATAATCCTAAGTGTAACACTTTGCATGAGTTCTGTGAATCGTTCCAGTAAATTACTGAACTCACAGGGGCAATGAGTGCCAACTGTTCTGAAAGAGATCATATTCCTGGAGAGGGGGGAGAAGGGGGAACAAAACTCAAAATGACAAAAATAAGGCCAGGCTTACTGGTCGGACAGACTGGTAGACCCTATGGCTCTTAGTCACCCTTTAAATCTGGAAATGAACTCACCCCTCTGGCTCAATTTTCAGGCAAACAGTTGGCAGATCTCGAAGGGAACAATAACACTAGTGAGCTATGCCCACCCCCGAATACTCAGCCATTCGAGATCACAAGAGCAGCAGCTAGCCAAGCACAAAGTTCAGGAGGGTTAGGACTGGAGGAGGGATGGAAACAGGAAGAAAGTGGGATACGCGATGTTACATTAAAGAGATTGTAACTAACGAGATGAAACAAAATGTGCGTGAAATGTTGATTGTAAAAGTGATGATCTGCTCTGTAAACCATCACTCAATTCACAATAAAAAGTTAAAAACA